GGGCCTGATCGATTTGCTACCCACCTTTAGTCTATGTCGTTCCGCAAAAAACGCAATCCAGCGGCTACCGCTGAATTCTCCTAAGCCACTGATCGCTTTACTGTAGTAAGTGGAAGTTTCTACATCAATAATTTTGCTTTCAATTACCTATATTCCCCAACCATGGGAAATCTTGGTCGCAAAAGGCAGGTTAATTATAGGACGCAGAGTTAGTTCAAAACGAAGCCTTTGAAGATAATGACAGTTTTTTAAATTAAAACGCCAACTTTAAAATTCACCCACTAGTAAAGCATGAAATTACTTATTCAGTTTATTTCCAAAGCTTACAATACAAGATAATCGTACGAAGACTCCAAGAAGTGGAAACTGATAAAATGCACCAGCATATCTGCTAATGCAATATCGCTAACATCGCGAAAGAAAACTTAAAAATTTCTAGGTACTATCAACAATGAGATCACTTCCTCCAACTATTACTCGTACTCAGCTTAAAAGCACTCTTGAACCACTAGAAAACCCAATGTACGTTTCTTAATCAGCAGAAGTGTAAATTCCACGACCCCATTTGTCTAAAACAACCAAATTTTAAGTGTAGAGAAAATCTCTTTCAGTGACTCAACAAGCAAGCCTAATTGAAATCTTCACAAAAGAGAAGAGATATTACACCAACATAGCAGGGAACAAAACGGAATACGACAAAAGCCAATTTCAGACCAGTATTGGTAGCAACAACAACCCAAAAATGAAAAGATGAAGAAAAAAGAACAGAACATAATCAGACCTGTGACAAGTTCAGTTTTTAAGACATTCCATTTTCATTTCAGCGACTACATACAAAAGAAACCAGTTGAATCAGCAATAATAACTTGAAACCGTCGCCCATCTCGATATTTTTAAACTTAAACTGTGCCTTTTCTCCACTACCAAGATTCAAGAAAAAAAAGACCAGTTCTGTATCTAATCTTTAACTAGTATGCCCACTATTTAATTGCCCATGGTTTTTGTTACCTTTTCCTTCAGCTGGCGACTTCTCTAAAACCCCCACTCAAATGGCAAACTCTCTTCCACTTAAAAACTTTCATCATTTTTCCTTTTCTCACACCCATCTCTCTCGCCCAGGCAATATAACAAAAATGTTTCGATTCTCAGAACAAGATCTAATAAGCTAAACGTTACCTGGCCATAAAACCAGCAGATGCCTACTTGTAATTTCAGTAGGTTAACCAGCAACTGATCCTGGTTATTATTCAGAAGATGACCCTTTTGCTAAACAGTCGCTTTGTTAAACTGCATCTCTGAACAAAGTATCAAAGACTGGAGAACAGTAGGTAAATTCATGATAGAACCCAACTAAAACGATTTCTAACTCTCTTATAACTCTTAAAGAAAACGCTGTACTTCCAATTTTCAAAACACACTCTAAAAAACACATTGCGAATATAGTAGATGTCCATACGATCGCTTGAGGACATGTTTAAAACGAACTTTCTAAATTAGTTTTGACCTAAAACCGACGGGGTTCTTCTACAGCAGCTCCGTACGATAAAAAATTTCCTATTTCTCCAATAGTGAACGAAGCACGTACATCCAAGTAAGTCCTCCAAACCTCTATCACGCTAATAAATCTTATCTCCATGCTTTGCAATTAGAACTACCGCAACTGTATAGAATCAAAATTTAACAGATCTATTCACATATTCCGAACCTTCCTTCTTCTCCGCTTCAAATTTTTTTTTGCTACTTCTTCGTTATCAACAGTACCGAGGTCTCTAAAATTATAATATTATAAAGCAACAGTCGTCCAAGAAGCTCAGTATCAACCGAAGCCAAATTTAGAAGTAATTCTAACATAAAAAAATAGAAAAAAAATGTTCCGATGCCTCAATACCCAGTGAAAGGTTTAAATTATCCGATACAACTTAAATTTTAAGGTGACAGCACTAGGTCATGCTAAGAAGAACTATCAGTGGGGAAAGGTTTATCCCAAATCCTTAAACAATGATCCCATCAAATTAGTAGGACATACTTTTCACGCCACTTATTACGTTTGCACTGACTAGCCTTGTCACTCACAACCTGTTCACCTTTTGGTTCATCTTCAGGCTTGAGAAGTGTATACCTGGAACAGGATTTCATCAAACCACTTAAAATTTCCCAGCTTTGGCTATACTTCTATAAAAAAAGTAAAAGAATCATGTATTATTTCTATTATTAACTCAAAAACACCAGCAGCATCTTCCTCTGTTTTTGCGCCAGATAAAATCATAAAAATCTGGTAGAAATCAATCCCATGGTAGTTTCTATTATGGAATTGATTTCAAACTCTGACCCCTCGAGAAATCAATTAAAGACGTTAGAGAAAGCAGAAGAATGAATATAATACCTCGCACTACCTGACGGTACAGAAATATTAAACGGCTGACTGGAGGAAACAAACTCATATTTAGCTTTCAACAGTGCAGTCGTAGTAGACATCATAGTCTTAAAAAATTCAACAGTTACTGCACACTACAGCAGATAAAAAAAAAAGAAAATTGAGTACTACAGGCAGGCTGAACAAAGAAAGCGTTAAAGTTTTTTGCCTCAACATTCCTTAGCGGAACACTAGGATCGGCACCTAAAAACATTGAAAAACTTCGAAGATACTCTCTAATTGAGGCGATTCTTTTCCCAAGAGCTTTTAAAAATATACAGTTAAAATTGTAAAACCAAAAGTACTTTCAAAAGACCCAACTTTGAAACAAAGGCTATACGTCCGGCCCCACAGAGTCTGAACAAAAACAGTGGCTTTTACTACAAAATAATTAATGAAGCTGTAAACTTTGATGTCCTCACAATCTCTTCCTAAATACCAAGAAAAATTTCATTAAAATTTTCTGCATTAAGAGAACTTATCTCACTGAAAAAAACATGTAACATCCTGAGGTCAACTCATCCTTAATGAGGAAGAAAAATACGCAAGGATCACTACCTATTTTTCGAGATTACAACTAAGCCTAGTTATACAGCACCAGCACTAGCAAGATCCGTAGACAGTTTAACTTTAATTTACATATAAAAACAGAGAAATCCTCAATGGCAAAAAACAATAAATTTCATAGCTCACTTTCTCGACGTCTGCCACCGATCTGCCAGATGCTCCAAGTCGCAAAGCTTCGTCAATTTTTGCCTGATTCTTCTTTCGCATAGCGTTTTGATGGTAGTCCCACCTTTTTAAAAATTCACGCAAAATTCAATTTAAGAACAGCGGGAAC